ATTGATGGAACACTTGATTCGAGTCAGAAACACTATTGATGGAACACTTGATTCAAGTAAAAAACACTATTGATGGGACAGTTCATTCAAGTCGGAAATACTATTGATGGAACACTTAATTCGAGTCAGAAACACTATTGATAGAAACTTGATTAGAGTCAGAAACAGTATTGATGGAACACTTGATTCGAGTCAGAAACACTATTGATGGGACACTTGATTCGAGTCAGAAACACTATTGATGGAACACTTGATTCGAGTCAGAAACACTATTGATGGGACACTTGATTCGAGTCAGAAACACTATTGATGGGACATTGAGTCAGAAACACTATTTAGACACTTGATTCGAGTCAGAAACACTATTGATGGGACACTTGATTCGAATCAGAAACACTATTGATGGGACACTAGAAGTGAGTCAGAAACACTATTGATAGGACACTAGAAGTGAGTCAGAAACACTATTGATTGAACACTTGACTCGAGTCAGAAACACTATTGATGGGACACTAGAAGTGAGTCAGAAACACTATTGATAGGACACTAGAAGTGAGTCAGAAACACTATTGATGGGACACTTGATTCGAGTCAGAAACACTATTGATGGAACACTAGAAGTGAGTCAGAAACACTATTGATGGGACACTTGATTCGAGTCAGAAACACTATTGATGGAACACTTGATTCGAGTCAGAAACACTATTGATTGGACATTATATTTGAGTCAGAAACACTATTGATTGAACACTTGATTTGAGTCAGAAACACTATTGATAGAAACTTGATTCGAGTCAGAAACACTATTGATGGGACACTTGATTTGAGTCAGAAACACTATTGATAGAAACTTAATTCGAATCAGAAACACTGTTGATGGGACACTAGAAATGAGTCAGAAACACTATTGATAGGACACTATTGATGGAACACTTGATTCGAGTCAGAAACACTATTGATGGGACACTAGAAGTGAGTCAGAAACACTATTGATGGAACACTTGATTCGAGTCAGAAACAGTATTGATGAAACACTTGATTCGAGTCAGAAACACTATTGATGGGACATTTGATTCAAGTCAGCAACACTATTGATGGAACACTTGATTCGAGTCAGAAACACTATTGATGGGACACTTGATTTGAGTCAGAAACACCCGTGATGGAACACTTGATAGGAGTCAGAAACACTATTAATGGGACAGTTCATACAAGTCGGAAACACTATGATGGGACATTGATTTGAGTCAGAAACACTATTGATGGAAAACTTGATTTGAGTCAGAAACACTATTGATGGGACATTTGATTCAAGTCAGCAACACTATTGATGTTACACTTGATTTGAGTCAGAAACACTATTGATGGGACACTTGATTCGAGTCAGAAACATTATTGATGGGACATTTGATTCAATTCAGCAACACTACTGATGGAACATTTGATTCGAGTCAGAAACACTATTGATGGGACACTTGAAGTGAGTCAGAAACACTATTGATGAAACACTTAATTCAAGTCAGAAACACTATTGATGGGGCACTTGATTCGAGTCAGAAACACTATTGATTGGACATTATATTTGAGTCAGAAACACTATTGATTGGACATTTGATTCAAGTCAGAAACACTATTGATGGGACATTTGATTCAAGTCAGAAACACTATTGATGGAACACTTGATTCGAGTCAGAAACACTATTGATGGAACACTTGATTCGAGTCAGAAACACTATTGATGGGACACTAGAAGTGAGTCAGAAACACTATTGATAGGACACTAGAAGTGAGTCAGAAACACTATTGATTGAACACTTGACTCGAGTCAGAAACACTATTGATGTAACACTTGATTTGAGTCAGAAACACTATTGATGGAACACTTGATTTGAGTCAGAAACACTATTGATGTAACACTTGATTTGAGTCAGAAACACTATTGATGGAACACTTGATTTGAGTCAGAAACACTATTGATGTAACACTTGATTTGAGTCAGAAACACTATTGATGGAACACTTGATTTGAGTCAGAAACACTATTGATAGAAACTTGATTCGAATCAGAAACACTATTGATGGGATACTTGATTCGAGTCAGAAACACTATTGATGGAACACTTGATTTGAGTCAGAAACACTATTGATGTAACACTTGATTTGAGTCAGAAACACTATTGATGGAACACTTGATTTGAGTCAGAAACATTCTTGATGGAACACTTGATGTGACTCAGAAACACAATTGATGGGACACTTGATTCGAGTCAGAAACACTATTGATGGGACACTAGAAGTGAGTCAGTAACACTATTGATGGAACACTTGAAAAATTGTTTTAAGTCCTACAATGATCTGTCATCTGTCATATACGTACAAATGTATATTTGTTTACAAATAAACAACTAACACTTTTAGAATCACAGTGCAGTATATAATTTTAGTTTGGCTTCAGAGTGGTGTAGATTTGATAAATCATATGTATATGTGTGGTCAAACCTGGATATTCTTACATCTTCAGATTTAAAGGGAAAACTATCCCTTGTCAAATAAAACAATGAAACTTTCTGAACTTAAAATTTGTTTATTTATTGCAAAATTCCTATGCATCAAGCACTGGTATTTCATTTCAACTTGCACTTGTGAAATAATGTAGACTATGATTTGGAAGTTTGTGAACTTCACATGATTACAATGCTTAAAAAAAACACAAAAAAAAATTCTTATCAACTTCTTAATGTGAAAAATATCTTTAAAATGTTTTGAAGTGAAATCTATACTTATGATGAAATACACTGTAGTTACTACAAAGCCATAGCTCTATAAAAAAAGACAGCTTTTTGAAAAGAAAGTTTATATAATATATATACACAACAATTATACGTATAATATTGTTTACACAATAAGCTAGCAAGCAACAATTACAAAGAAAAAAAAACCAATTATCAATTCTTGATGTAAAACATTCATACATGACAACATGTCCATGTTACCATGGTAACCTATCACCCATACATAATCCCTGTATCACATTTCCTCAGATTTTCCTGTTTTAGTGTTTTAATGCAGGACTATAGTTACACTTAAATATTTTCAGTTTTTGATACAACTTGTTTGGTTTTTTATAAGAGTATGTTTCTGTTGTTGAAATTGGCCCCATACATCAACAGTTTGCATTGTATGTAGACCTTACTGTCTACAAGAAACATACCAGACATGGTTATCAGGATAAATAATTACAAAATTTCTCGCAAGTAAATTTTTTCCCACACGTATATCAATTTCCTTGATGAAATTTTGAAGATTGATAGGTTGTAGAAGTTATTAACAAGATAAGCTGTAAACCCTTGTACACAGTCATCACAAATTTAATTCTTGTTTTCTTGATACTGAAACTGTCACAAAAACTGTATCTTTTGAATTTCAATTTTTCTAATTATCCGTGCCAGTTTCACATTGCTAAGATCTGGGCCACTGAAAGCCATCTTTCCTAATCCAGTTAATATTGACAAAAATATTATTGACTTTTCAACTCTTTCATCATTGCCAAATATCTCGCGTACACAAATGCATGAATAGTAGACAAAAGCACACGTTATGCTCAATGTGGACTGCAGTTTGAGATCACATACAATATAAAATTTAACTAATTCATCATCAATTACATTTTTTTAATTACATTTTATGAAATAGGAAGAGTAAACAATTTTGTCATTATTGATCATCAAACAACATACGAAGGCAATAAGCTGAAATAACACTGAATGTGATTGTAAGTCATAGACGATACGAAATATAAAAATGTCCACTGTGCACAATCGTGTCCCATCTCACTCACACAGCAGCACCAGTTGCATAGTTTATGATTCAATAAACAAAACGAAAAATATCAGTACCTATAAAAAATGGACAAATAGGTTCATCAGGAGACATTTTGTGGGCTTTAATTTTTTTGTAAGTACTCTGTTGGAAGAAAACTTTGGGAAAATGTTTCCTTATTAATCTATAGCTTTCATTTGTTACCATAACAACACAAAATGATTGTTGAATGAAAATTAAACACAAAACAAAAGAGTTATTACTAGTTTTGCTATACTTCATAAAGTAACATCGAGATCACTTTCAAATTTGGATGGTCAAGTTAAACACTAGTTTTATATTTTAGATTCATTTTGTGTCAAGAACCACTACACAATTATCATCTCTAACACCATTCATCAACACTTGTCATGTAAACTACATGATGAAATCCTCGAAATTTAAGGCATTTTTTTCATAATTTGAAAATAAATTAGTCAATATTTTAAAGAATATATTATCATACTATATAATCATGTGTATGTCAGAATCATGACATTCACTAGAAAGTTGGAGAACTTTAAATTTCACAGAAGTTAACTGTTACTGTAGTCATTTAATTAATTACAAAGAGAAATAACAACACCACTAAAGGGAGAGTAAGTTTATGACTAAGGATAGAATGGATTTGTTCGTCAGAAAAGTCCTGACAGCACAGTTCATCTATGTTTCCAGTTCCTTGTGGCAAGCCTTTCTGGACTACAAATTACTCATATTTCAGAAGGAATTTTCTGCTGTACAAACTTGAGATTTGTCTGCAGAGATTTTACAAATCATCTTATACACATACATTGTACAATGTTGAGAACAAGCAGACCACACTCTTTAACTCTATCACAAACAGAAACTGTTCAAAAACAGTTCAAGGCATTACATCAAAAACAGCCATCCAATGAAATGTAAGTAATGTGTAGTTTATCCAAGTCTCAAATCTTACATAGTCATACTGAAACACTGAACTAAGGTACCAGGATAGGTTGTACAGTCGTTGACACCCCAGCAACGCTCATTGGTGGCACCAGAAGGAATACAATAAAATAATAATATTATGGACTGGATATACAAGGTAAGGTTTGAGAAAGGTTTATGATTTAAATCTTATTTAACTGGTCTCTCCATTCTGTTCTCCCCATTTCTTTTTGTACTGCTTTCTCCCGAATCCCTCATCGTAATTCCCTCGTCTGGCAAACAGCTGTTTGAAGTGCGGAGTACAGAAAATCACTCCCTCATTCACTGACATGTTTTTTGACCTGTAATTAAAGGGAAAAAATCCTTAAAATTTCAAGCCGTTCTTCTGACATCCGAAATTAATTAGTTCTGTAATAATTAAAATGAAAATGTCAAATAATTCTGTGCATTTGCAGAAATCTGCGAAAACATAAAAACATCACAGAGAAAATATTTGTATACAAGGACACTGCTAGAGCACAAAGAGTCAGCTTACAAATACTGTAGCTGTATAAAATTAAACACAACAGTGAAATAACTAAACCTGTAATGGACCAAGAGAAAGACATACCATTACATGTAAAGAAGAAAGCAGCTTGGGAACTGAATGCAACAGCTTACCTATCTTTCACATACCTACATACATATGTATTATGATATACAAGTAAGTAAAACATATATAATTTATCTGCAGTCAGCTCAGGAACAAACTTGTCCAACATCTTGTATATCTGAGGAACACCTGAATTTTTGACGACTTTATACATATTACACCTGTGAATAGTAATTTTTTTTTCTATAAAATCTATCAAACATCAGCATTGATTCTGATTTTGTTAATCATTATTTAAGAAGAATTTTATTGAATTTCATGCTCTTGGGCATAACATTACATGCAATGAAGTTCACAACCATGCATCATTTCAAAAGTTTTCAATCATTTACAACCTAATTTTAAGATATCAATACCAGTTTAATTATTTCCTTTATAAGTAAAAAGAATTCAGCTTAAATTGTCTTTTTCATTTTTTTCCTCTTTCATTGCTTTTCCTCCTTGTTTGTTGTTTCTTTTTTTTAATTTCGTGCAAAGTCAAATGTTTAAGTGGCTACTGTAAGCTGCCATCCAACAGAAGTACACTTTTTCTAAAGAGATTTTTTGAAGCTCTATGAAATAAAATTCATTCAGCTTACATGCATAATATACATACCACAGTCTCAAACAATGTTCCCTGTGTCTTGTTGAATTGAAGTAGTTCATTCCGAATCAGATTTATATTCAAGTTTGTTTTGTTTAACAAATTAATAAAATAAAACCTAAATTCTTTTGGTTTTGATATCTGCTCACGAACAAATTAAATGAAAAGAAGCAATACCAAAACTTCAAAAAATTTTTGCTTATTTTCTTTGATCAATACATAGATAAAATCCTACATTGATTGTCAATTTACTAGATTTTTATATACAAAACTACAATAGTTTTTTATGCACATTAAATAAAACAGCATCTAGATAATGAATCAATGACAAGGAAGGCAATGGATCTTGTGAATCAGATGTGTTTCCTAGCAGTGTGAGAGAACCTGTCAATTGTGCTAAAATTGATAGTCAGGGGAGATAATACATGGGCACTTGAGAGACAGAAACATAACAGAAAATGCAAAATAACCATGCCTTAGTCAATGCAATATCTTCACTTCAAAAATAGATCACATCATAAATCCTTATATAGATTTTCCCCAAAAAATGAAAACAAATTATCTCCCTTTTTTCTTACGAACTTTTACTCACATCTCATGACACGTTTCCGAAAATATAGCAGCTTTTAAAACAAACAAAACATCGTTACAAAATTCAGTGTGGTTTTAATTAATTCATTTAAGTACACTTTTATGACCAGCTACTTGGGAAGTATGTTTCTTAATGACCATCCCCCTTAAAAATGTGGATGATAGCAGTTAGAGATTAAGATTTTGGTAAATAATAATTTTTTAAAGTGGAAAAAAGAACAAAAATGAATATGGTAATGTGTGACATGATAAGTGTGAAAGATATTTTTGCAGTTGATACTTTCAACTAAAAATCTTAAAGCAATGCCAAGTAATAAAACAAAATTCTTGAGAAGAGCAATGACCAAATTAAAGATGAGCTATCTAGAAAAACCAAAATAAGCCAAGAGCTAATACAATGACAAACCAGGAGAGAGTTGGCATAATGACCTAATTAGAAAATAAGCACAACGTGACAAAAATAGCTAGCACTATGAAAATGATCAAATTTTGAAAAAGATGAAAACAGAGCAAGTGCAATGACAAAAGTAAGGATGGAGCTAGCGAGTATAACAATCAAAGAGAGGATATAACTACACAATGATTATAATGAAAGGTGTAGTATTTACAAGGACCAGTTTAGAAAGATAGAGCCAAGATCGTTCTAGGATTTTGAACTAAACACATATGTATAACCAGGACTTAGATTAACCAAAAACTTTATAAATTCAGGAAATTGGGAATAGTATTAAAGCCAATTTTCTAAGAACATAAAAAAGTTGATTTTTCATTTTTCTTTAATGATTAATCAACCAAATAAGCATACAGAAAGTGATGTAGAGGAAAAAACCATATACCAGATCAGGTGCTGAGGACCATACATAGGGTCAGGTACTGAGGACCATACATAGGGTCAGGTACTGAGGACCATACATAGGGTCAGGTACTGAGGACCATACATAGGGTCAGGTACTGAGGACCATACACCAGATCAGGTACTGAGGACCATACATAGGGTCAGGTACTGAGGACCATACATAGGGTCAGGTACTGAGGACCATACATAGGGTCAGGTACTGAGGACCATACACCAGATCAGGTACTGAGGACCATACACCAGATCAGGTACTGAGGACCATACATAGGGTCAGGTACTGAGGACCATACATAGGGTCAGGTACTGAGAACCATACATAGGGTCAGGTACTGAGGACCATACATACGGTCAGGTACTGAGGACCACCCACCAGATCAGGTACTGAGGACCATACATATGGTCAGGTACTGAGGACCACACATAGGGTAAGGTACTGAGGACCACACATAGGGTCAGGTACTGAGGACCACACATAGGGTCAGGTACTGAGGACCATACATAGGGTCAGGTACTGAGGACCATACATAGGGTCAGGTACTGAGGACCATACATAGGGTCAGGTACTGAGGACCATACATAGGGTCAGGTACTGAGGACCATACATAGGGTCAGGTACTGAGGACCATACATAGGGTCAGGTACTGAGGACCATACACCAGATCAGGTACTGAGGACCATACATAGGGTCAGGTACTGGGGACCATACATAGGGTCAGGTACTGAGGAGCATACACCAGATCAGGTACTGAGGACCATACATAGGGTCAGGTACTGAGGACCATACATAGGGTCAGGTACTGAGAACCATACATAGGGTCAGGTACTGAGGACCATACATACGGTCAGGTACTGAGGACCACACACCAGATCAGGTACTGAGGACCATACATAGGGTCAGGTACTGAGGACCACACATAGGGTCAGGTACTGAGGACCACACATAGGGTCAGGTACTGAGGACCACACATAGGGTCAGGTACTGAGGACAATACATAGGGTCTGGTACTGAGGACCATACATAAAGCCAGGTGCTGAGAACCATATATAGGGTCAGGTACTGAGAACCATACAAAGGGTCAGGTACAGAGGACCATACATAGGGTCAGGTACTGAGGACCATACACCAGATCAGGTACTGAGGACCATACATAGGGTCAGGTACTGAGGACCATACATAGGGTCAGGTACTGAGGACCACACACAGGGTCAGGTACTGAGGACCATACATAGGGTCAGGTACTGAGGACCATACATAGGGTCAGGTACTGAGAACCATACATAGGGTCAGGTACTGAGGACCATACATACGGTCAGGTACTGAGGACCACACACCAGATCAGGTACTGAGGACCATACATAGGGTCAGGTACTGAAGACCATACATAGGGTCAGGAACTGAGGACCATACATAGGGTCAGGTACCGAGGACCATACATAGGGTCAGGTACCGAGGACCACACATAGGGTCAGGTACTGAGGACCACACATAGGGTCAGGTACTGAGGACCACACATAGGGTCAGGTACTGAGGACCACACATAGGGTCAGGTACCGAGGACCACACATAGGGTCAGGTACCGAGGACCACAAATACGATCAGGTACCGAGGACCACACATAGGGTCAGGTACTGAAGACCACACATAGTATCAGGTATTAAAGACCAAACACTGGACATTCTGGATGAATGGATGATAGGACTTTTGAAGGCAGGATGTAATAGGATGTATTTTACTGCTGAAGTGCCTATTGTTGGTCTTGTCAAAATAACCATATTTCAAAACATATTAACTTTTCTTCACTAAGTTAAAATCAGTGAAATATTTTCAATGTCGAGAGCCTTTAGTGCAAAAATGAGGAAAGCAGAAATAGATACTGCAAGCTTCATAATTATGTAAGCAACACCTGAAGGTGAGATTGTGAACAAAACTTATAAAATAAGATTTTTATTATAGAACAAAGAAGCCTAACCTCTATTTCCTATCTCGTAGTGCTTACTACTTTTATTTTAACAACAGTTATCATCTTTACTAAATTTTCATTCCAGAATACGATGATGTTCCTTTCATTCTGAATGACCGTAAATTGAACCTTTATTTTTGATGTAGTTTACTTACCTTGTACAGTTTTTTTATAACAGAGGTCAAACAGTCTTATACTCTTTTATTCTGGTAAGCAGTCTTATCGTTTCCTTATCGTAAAATAAAGTCATCTTACCTTCTTGTCCTAGTCTTACATTTTACCCTGAGTATGGCAGTCCTATTTGATTGAGCAATGCCATGTTTATCAATGACCATTACAACAAGAAGCGTGTAAGGGTATATATGTGATAACTGCAGTGTAAATAATGTACTGGAGAGATGAGTGGTAAAGTCTCATTCCTTACGTTACAACAGCTTTGCAATGGGAGCACCTAACACAAGCCCTGTGGTAAAGGCTTTTGTTGACCTCCATTTTTTCCAATGCATAGACCGTTTTTCCACATGCTGCGCACTTGTCGAGGACAGGCACAAAGCTTGGCTTCTTCTGTACAAGGGAACAAAATCACCATGATAAAAAACATCAGTCATGTAACAAAGCCAGCCATTGGTTATTGCCAATTTAGCAGCAGCCAATCAAACTTTGGCCATGCTTTGGTTCAAGTTATGTTATTAGTCATG